ATAAAGGCTTCACACAGTGTCTTTATTATTATGATTACAGTTGTCATTAAATGTGTTGCAGCTGCAGGATCATCAGCTGAAGCTTTTGGTGTGAGAACCATAGAGAGAGGTATGTGTCCTATAACTTAAGACTTAAAAAAACAAATTAAATATAAAAAAAACAAATATTTCTCACAAGCTAACAATAATGTTTCCTCTAAGCACTGCAGTTATTTTAATTAACATTTCAGAGTATGAATCTTTAACAGAGTTTAATAGCAAAGAAGACGTCAGGTGAAACCGTCATTGATTTTTATGATGTTACTGTTAAGGTTGATTTTTTGTTCATTTAACCAGTTCTAATGTAAATCCTTGATATTAGAATTATAACAGTCTGACAGTGTCTTATTATAAAGCCTTATGTTAATTCAGTCATTCATTCATATTTCCTTTGTCCTCAGAGAAACACTGTGTGGATCAACATTGGCCTGCATTGATCCAGAAGGTGAGTAATGACACTTTTGTTCGACTTTATGTGATCAGTTGTATCATTACTTTGTGTGATATGACTGATGTACTCTTACCTCATCCACATTTCTAAAATACAGACATTGATGAGATGTGAACAGACAAATCTGTAATCATCCCAGCTGACAAATTGCACTTTTACCTCATGAACATTTCCTTTGAATTTACCAGGTGGAGACGATGACGTCTGTCATAGAGCTGCTTTTGGAAACACTGGCTGGTTTGAGTGACGGGGAGCTCAGGGAGTTCAAAGAGGTCCTCCTTCGTCAGACTGACCTCTGCAGACACCTCTCAGACATGCCAATGATACTGTGGGAGAAAGAAGACCGGCAGGTCACAGTGTTTTTAATGGTGCTGACTGACGGCCAACAGTCTGTAGAGATGACCAAGCAGGTTTTAAAGAAGATGAAGAGGATTGATCTGGTGCAGAGGTTGTCAGACAGCAGCTCAGGACCCAAAAGTAAGAAAATGAAGAAAAAACTGGAGACACGTGTATTTAGTTTATAAACCATGTTTTCTTCTCTTTAAATTAGAAATATTAAGCTTAATAAATATTCATAAATATTAAGATTTATGATGTAGAGAAAATAAGAATCACTCTTCATAGAAAATATGTTTTATGACTAATGTGAAATATGAAAAATATTTTGGGAGAGGAAGCAAAAAAGACTGTTGAGCTGATTTAAGTGTAATTTTGCCTATTTGAAATTTTTATAAAGCAGAATGGCCTGAACACAAATTTACTGTCAGATGTTTGATCAGTCACTGATGACTTTTACCACTTTTCTCCTCAGAGCAACACTCAGATGAACACCGACCTGCACTGATCCAGAAAGTGAGTAATGTCACATCTGTCTGACTTCATACAAAACAGCTTTCATTAAACAGATGCAGGGTTAAAAATTAGCATCATCTTGAACATTTTGAATAATGATACAATCAGAAGTCATGATTCACTTATTTATTTTTCACAGAACTGAAGCTGCGTTCAGGTCGAGCTCTTTAGCAGTAATTTAATCCAACAATAATGATATGATATTTTTACCACTGAGGATGAGATGAGGAAATGTCAGCATGAACATTTTTCATGACTTTTTCATCAACAGTGAAGAGAACTTGATCCACCAGAAACATCTATTTATTGTACTTTTTTTCCAGAGGCATTAAACAAAATATAAAACATAAAATAATGAAAATAATCTTTTGAGCCACTGTGACTCATTGCAGTGTTTTTGAAAAGAGCTGCAGCCTGTAACTTAAAAGAAAAACAATTAACCAGTTCATAAGAATTAAAAGGAAGAAGGAAAAGGGAATCATCTTTTGATTTGTAGTTTGGTTCCTCAAAAAAAACAAACAAATGCAAAATATACTAAAACACAAATGTGCACAAATATATCAATCTATAAAAAACAGCTGAACCAAATGTACTTAATCCTTGTATATTGTATATATTTTTATATTTGATGTATTTTTGTATATCGTATATTTCAGTATATTCCACTTCTTGCCTAAATTTTGAGTACTCATGTCAATTCTGGTACATTGAGAGCAAGTCTGCCCGAGTCAAATTCCTTGTATGTACACACGTACTTGGCGACTAAAGCTGATTCTGATTCTGATAATACAACAGCAGTCACCAAATGGATCTTGTGTGATCTGCCAGTAACACTCACATCTCCATTAA